TCACAGTCCCCTCCCATAGCTGCTGTCCACCCCCACCTGTCTACAGTCCCTGCTCCCCCATCTACAGTCCCCATCTACCTGTTTGCAATGCCCTCCCACCTGGCAGAATCTCCACGACGTCCAATACTGCCTAAGATTTCTGGTCCTGCGCCATCTGCCTGTGACGACATGCATCTGCCTGGGTAAGTATGCATTGCTGATGCTGGCCCTGGGCATGTTTCCTGCCCAGAAGGGAATTTAGGCACCAGTTGTTGTATCTTTTTGACTGCTACCTCAACTAAAGTGCTATAATACTCACCTGTTAGTTGCCTTTTCCCGGATTGACCCTTTTGTCGTCCCGGATTGACCCGACTTCTCTCTCACCTGCCTCGTCCCCTGTCTGGAACTGACTACTCTCTTGCCTTCCGCCTACCTCAGCCCTTGCCTGGACCTGACTACTCTCTCAACTGCCACAACCCCTATACGGCCTTGACTACTCTCTCGCCTGCAGCCTGCCTCGGCCCCTGCCTAGACCTGACTATTATCTCACCTGTCACGACCCTTGTCTGGACCTGGCTACTCTCTCGTCTGCCACCTATCTTAGCCCCTGCCTAGACTTGACTACTCACTCAACTAATGCCTGCTTTTTCGTTTGCTGCCTGCAAATACTCTGCCGGCTTACTCTCTTGGCTTCAGCCCTGTGAACAGTCTCCACATTATAGTATTTCCTCTATAGCCACCTCTGTGGGGGGCGATCCTGAGGGCAGCAAGCTGGTGCCAGTTTGCAGCCAAGGCAAACTGGCACCACTAGGGTTCCCAGCCCATCTCTACCATCAGAAGATCTGGTGAAGACCATCTGTCACTTAGACTCCGTGCCTCGGGTGAATCTGTGCCACCTGCCAGTTGGCACCATGTAAGTCCTTAGACATATCCCGGATATTGACCACTGATCAATTTCAATATAAAGAATGGAATAATGATACAACAAATACTTCCTATGTTCTCATATTGTATTTTAGGAGTGGCTTGGTACTGGGATTGCAGTTCTCTAAGACAATGCTATGAATTCAAAGAACTTCAGTGTCAGTAGGGTTTCCTAAAGGTGCTGCAAATTTCTGCCAACTGCATGTATCAAATACCATAATCTCTTGTCCCATACACATACTGTACATAATTCTATCTGTGGGCAGATAATGGTATTGCATTCAGCATTTGGTTTATGTATGGGTCTATGGTCACACGTTCAAGGACTCACCGATTGGTGAAATATTGCTTTTGGGTCAGCTGACCCTCTAACTAATCAAAGTATAAATGCTTTTTTACCAGCTGCCATGCTGTCTCCTTTGTCCCCCTTGGGTCCTGGTGGTCCCCTTTCTCCATTTGATCCTGGTGGTCCAGCAACTCCTGGTGGTCCTGTTGAGTCATGGAACAAGCACATGTACAGGTTATGTACAGGGACGGAAAAAGGCTGATGTCAGGTCAAATTCAGGCACTCACACTGATTGCATTTACAAATGATGTATCAATGAATACAGAGCTGGATTAGTTTGTGTCTTTTCTATCTGCTTGGAGTTCAGCTTTAAAATATGATAATTTATACCTGGTTCTCCGTTTCTTCCCGGTTTTCCATCAGTCCCATCTTTGCCCGGCAGTCCAGCCTTCCCGGGAGCTCCACATGTGATGATTGAGTAGGCATTCTCATCGGGGTCATGGCATATCTGTGTCCCCGGGGTCACTAAAGCCACATGAAGCAAAAGTAGGCCAAGAACCTTCACGAGTAGCATATTTCAATACAGCTGGTCTGTAGGGGAGATGGAAACCTTTGTTGTAATAGTAACGGCAGATAAGTTAAATGTCTGAAATAAATAATTAAATAATTGAGCCCATGTACTACTCTAGAACATCTAGGACCGGCAACTGCTCCCCTGATGCTATAATTATTTCTGTTTGCTGCCCTACCATGCTTTTCGCCCAGCGTCCATTGTGTACCTTGTCTCTGTTCAGGAGCTTCCTGTAATAAAGACCGGTCACTGCTACTCTCACTCCTTGTGCAGGGTGACTGGTCTTGTCTCTGCCCCCTCCTGTAATAAAGACCAGTCACTGCTACTCTCACTCCTTGTGCAGGTGTGACTGGTCTTGTCTCCACCTCCTCCTGTAATAAAGACCAGTCACTGCTACTCTAGCTCCTTGTGCAGGGTGACTGGTCTTGTCTCCACCCCCTCCTGTAATAAAGACCAGTCACTGCTACTCTCGCTCCTTGTGCAGGGTGACTGGTCTTGTCTCCACCTCCTCCTATAGTTTTCTGCAGGCATTCTGTATTGGGTTGCCTGGCTGGGCCCCTCCCATAGCTCTGCTCTTGGCACAGACTAGTGCAGCACAGTACTACTATCCTCACTACTGTTACAAGGTAAAATTTGGGTTTGCAAAAGCATTTGGAGCACCATTGAGGAATTTATTCAAATGAAAGTTTTTGTGTCCGGAGTTCAGCTTTACCTTTAACAATACCAAATCAAAGTACTAAACAGTAGGTATACTATCTATTTTTCACTCCACAGGTACTTTTATCCCCATTTTTGGGGTGGGGAGCACCTTGAACAAGTGGACCTTGGCCATCATTGACTTCCTGTAAAGTTTGGGCTACTCAGCATTGACTGAGGATCTTGTGGGCAGGAGGTTGACATCACCCCTGCTCTATGAAAGTCATGGAAATGTAGGTATACAGTCTAATTATTCTTCCCCTCACAGGTACTTTTAGCAAGATTTGGGGGATGGGGGGCACCTTGAACAAGTGGACCTTGACACAGAGGTCTTAATTGTAGGATTTACATACCCTTAGTGTACATAAAGTTTGTGAAGCTCTATACAACTGCTATGATGACCGTTAGGGTTCTGTATCTCTAGAGGAATAGGCTTGAGATTGAGATCATTGGGGGCTCCTCTATTGGTTTTGCTGTGCGGCCTCAACACATATTGCTATGGTCTTGGTCTTTGTGTAAGCTCCAACCAGCTCAACTTGGAATGGGCAAGGAACATGTTGACTGTAAGCCAATTTCCAACCAATCCAACCATCCAAAAATTGATAACATTAAAAAAATGAAAGTAGATGTAAACCTATTTTTAAAATTCTCAACCTGCAGCTTTCATTTAATCTAATCCCTGGTGATCCTGACTTGAAGGTCCTTGTTCAGGCACTTCCTGTTATAGGGTGACAACGCTCTGTCCCTGTCTCCCAATTGTGTTTCTGTCTTTTCAACCCCATCACATGGGCTTCTGATGGAGCATAGTCCACTTTCGTCACCGTGGAGGAACCTATCAAGGGAAATGCCATGCAGCCATCACTAGAGAGCATGCAGACAGGAAGTGTGCAACAAATATTTAATTAACAATACATTTTAATTGTTGGCCTTCAGCCGGAGGAATTCTGTGTTCCAGGAATGTAGAAACGGAATCATATAAATATTATTCAAATAGTACTCACTGGTCTGATGTTACTCACCGACTTCCACACGTAGAATGGAGTTAGCGGAATCAGGTCTAGTAAAATAGCTCCAACACACTTCTATATATACTGATACGGTGTTTGCACAATCTAAACTAAACAAAAGATTGCCATCAACGGCATATAAATTCAATATGTAAATGTTTACAAGGAAACAAGTACTGAAGAATTATATTTCCTGCAGTGTTATTGTGTCCTTACCAGGAGGACCATTTCTGTAGAATAATGGCGGACTACACCCTTCTACAGGAAACATTAGACTACTTATTATGATGATCGAAGCTTTACATTGAACTCATAGGTTTATAAGCCAAGTCAAGTAGCACAGGTAGTGAGGTGCATCCCAAACTGGGTGGACACAGAGTACATTGTATGTGAAATGACCGATTGGAGATATTTTCAGGCCAGGAGGTAAACACTTAACCATCGTCTTTTAAGAATTTTAGCATAACATGAGAACCTTTTGTGGTGTTTACTACCGTCTAAATAAGGTACAAAGATTGTTCGTGTATGGCTCACCTCTGAAGGAGCCGCTAGTTGTCTAGGGGTATGATCTTCAGCTGCCCCACTAGCATTCAACCGCTCTCTTCTAGTGCCCACTCAACTGATGTCCACTCCAGTAATGCAATGCTGAATAACGTTTTATTAAACATTTTCATACTGGGGAGAGAGGGTATAGGGATCCTAGACATCCCGGGTGTAACAGACATAGACTCCAGACTCACCAGACCTTCTAAGCCTCTCAGTGTAGATCCAGTTGTGGTACAGTGAACGATAATTGGAGCTGGGATGTGTACAGATCCTGAGCAGGAGAGACACCAGCCATGCCAGGTCCTCTCTGTTCCAGGCACCTCCAGCAGACATCAGCTTCTCTGGTTCTCTTCCTCTGGCAAACAGCACAGGCCTCCTCCATATTGGAGGCCTAGGGGAACACTTCCCTCACTCCAGCCTCTTCCCACCCCCAGGCCTAGCCTGGGGATGGGGGGCAGGCTGGACAGCTACCAGCCCTAATGGCTGGTCCCGACTAATCTCAACACCTGGCAATTCTCTCCAGTATATGTACCCTATCCCAGCATGCACCACTGGTTGAGAGAAATGCCCAGTTATGGCTGCTGTACTGTACATACACTTACAATGTCTCTCATTGGCTGTTCCACAATACAGCAGAGTCACACTCCACCCAGGATGGGGTACAGTCAATGCCAGACACCTGGAATTGACCAGATAAATGCCAACTATAATCCAGCCAGACTGAATACAGCCCTGGCTATCACTAAATGTCTAGTAGCCACGTAGTTTAACAAGGAACTCTTGCTCGTGAGTTTAAAAATATGAAGCATGAATATGGGCTGGGGAGAAGTTGAGCAGTGGGCATCAAGATAGATAGATAGATAGATAGATGAGCTCAGGCTGGTACCAAACCAGCTATACTTAGTAGATTGATCCTGTCGACCTTGACGTCTGTAGACCTTGATGTCCAGTGCTCCATATTAGTATTTCTGTAATTAGTGCCAACCTTTGGGCTTGGCTCTCGTTCCCGGTCTTCTGCACTTGTCTACTGGTTACCACCAGTGACCTCCAGCTTGTGTCACCTTGATGTCTGGTCCTCCAGTGCTCCATATTAGTATTTCTGTAACTGGTGCCAACCTGTGGGCTTGACTCTCGTTCCCGGTATACTGCCCTTGTCTACTGGTTACCACCAGTGACCTCCAGCTTGTGTCACCATGGTTCCTGCCATCTCTATCACTTGCGTTTCCTTGGCTTGTGACCACAACCTTATTTCTACCTTGCCTGATTACCAACTCTTTGTCTACTCCACCTACAGCTTGCTGTCTGGCCTCTTGTTCCTCCCTAACTCAGGTCTCCACCACCTGTAGGGTCAACCTGAGAGCATGATCCTGGACATCCTCCACAAGAAGATGTCCCGTCAATATGGGCTCCAGGCAAGACTGGGAACATGATTGAGTAAAGTGTAAGTAAACCAGGCTTAGCCAAACTTTGGCTCTCTCATCATGCATCTGCCTCACAAAGTCATAGTCTTGCAGTGCCTCATGGGATTTGTAGTCCCAGCACAGCTGGAGGCCCGAAGTTTGGCTTCTCCCTGATTTAAACCACAACAATGGCCTTTTCGCATCAGCTTTTGGTCTTTTGAATATACCGATAACTCTCGGTTTGCGATTCGGGATGGCTGGATCAGGCAGATGCGGCCCTCTAATCAGGCATTGTAGAGGGCCGCCCGCTGGGGCCTCCCGAGGACCCCCTTTGATTAGCGAGCGGCCGGCGATTACAGAGCCGCATCTGATGCGGGCCAGCCGGGTGCAGGTGGCAGAGAAACTGCGGAGTGAGGAAGTCACTGCAGCTGCGGCCACAGCAGACCCAGCACCACCAGGGTCCAGGGAGCCCCCACTGACCACCAGGGTAAGGAGACTCCCATCTCCCACACTGTCAGAAGCTGCATACAGAGCGTGTTGGTTACTATTTAAACCGGTGCGCGCTGTGTGCAGCTTCTGAGAAGATACGTTATTAGCATAGCGTGACCGATGCAAAATGCACAGCTGACTTCCTCGCTATGCTAATAGCGTATCTTCTGAGAAGCCGCACACAGCGCGCCAGTTCAAATAGTAACCACCACGCTCTGTATGCATATTCTGATAGCGTGAGAGACGGGAGCCTGCGCTTGTCGGTGGTTCCAGGGATCAGGTGAGTATTAACCACTTCCAGGCCGCAATAGGTCAATAGAGAGAGGGTTTGGCTGCTGACCACATGGGGGAAACCAATCTGTACATTATGAGTTCTAATGTAAAAGTGTTGGACTGCATCAAATTTTCTTCTGCCAGGAAAGCTACAAGCCAAGGATGAAGACCTCAACAGACAGACGATGGTTGGCAGGATCCTGATTAGTAATGGTCACCGGTTGGTAATTTAAACTTCCTTAGAAGCCTTTCCCTCATCCTGCTCTGGTAATCCTTCAATCAGATATGAACACATAATGTTCTTTTACAATGTTTGGGTGTTGGGTGTTCACTGATTCCGAGGAACAAGGACGGGAGCAGCTATATAACGGCAATATTTGAGAATAAACATTCTCTGTTTGTCCAATGTATCCATTCACTTTTCTCTTTGACTGTCAAAGTCCTCTCCCAGGATCACGGGATAACTGGAGGACTCTGAGAGGCATGGGGGGAGATCACACCAGCATCTGAGTGCACCAGAGTGTATGGGAGTTTAGCATATGCTGTGTGTGTCCAACTAGTTAGATCTGGGCGAGTCTCTCTAGTGGTGGCTGGTGGTAAGAGA